CAGCGCCATTTTTTTCTCGAGAGAGTTGCAAGTTTTGCTAGTTTTTGGAGTACTGGAACGCGTTGTAGCAGAATTAGTGCTAATTAGTACTAATTTGCAGGTTCTGGAACACAACTAATGTTTTTAAATGGTGAAAACCTTACCGCACCATGTGTTCGGAGTATTATATTCGGGTCGCAATTGTCGTCTGATTTTCTCGAAATATTTCATGTGTTTTGTTTTCTTTTTTATTTTAGGCAAATTTTCAACTAATTTTTCCCTAATTTGGTATTGTAGGTCCTTTTTTCGTGAAATTGAAGAAAAACCCCATAGTCAATGTTTTCGATAATTGTAGCAATAGTTGTACATCCCTTTGGTACCTACGATATAGCAAAAAATAATATACGGTAAATTGCCATATTTACACTACAAATATGGATTTTCGTTATTGAAAAACTTCGTACGATAATCAAATACGAGAATTGTTTGATGTAACGTAATTGATGCAACGATAAAAAACAACACGACTTACGATATTCTCTACAAAAATTAAATACGGTAAATCTTAAAATTTTACTCATCAAATTACGATATCAATAGAAATGCATAAAAGAGAATAGAACATGCAACTTGTTGCATACTTTTAGGCATGTGATAGAGCGCAGTATCACAATTGGAGAGTTGTTTTAACATTGAGTTAAACTCAATAACAATGGAAAGCAACAAAGTGGTGATGTGTTAAGGAACGTAAGAAACTGGAGAGTTAGATGTCCTTGTAACACGTGTTGTTTGATGCACTTAAAGTATCAACAAATTTATTTGGTATGTTTATGTTTTGAGTAAAAAAATTAGATTGCAGCGTGAGATTAGGGTTTTGAACAACGAAGTACCTGGATAATTGTGATGATTCTTTGACATTCGTTAAATTTAATTTTTAGTTCAACTTTTTTAATTTCAATTTTTAAATCAAACAACACTATTTGTTGCGGGTATTATTTTAGTATATTATTTCGAATATTAGGATTAGGATGAAAATAAATTATCTCAATGTTCAATAAAATGCATCAAAATTTCAAATCATACTTAAACTCCAAGAATTCTGACTCAAAAACACAATTTAGGGTTAAAACCGTTCATTATGTGAGTATTACAATTCTCATACCCTACAACACTATATGTTTGAGGGTACTCGCCGAACTGAGTCGATCCAGCCATGTAAGTCCGACGTTCCGTCTAAAATAAATCTTAGTTTTCTGGACATAAGTCAAGAACCGCTGAACTGATTATTTGTTTTGTTATCTTTTTGTAATTGTACATTTTCTGAAGTTTTTCTACACCTCTCAAATTATCGTCCGATCCTCACGAAATATTGTATTGGGAAGGGTTAGGCTCAGAATTGAAGTCAATAGAGATAGACCAAAAATTTCCTAATTTTGCGGTCGCTCTACAGGTTACAATTGAAAACCAATTGACACGGAATTTTGCATGAGAGGAGAGTAAAGGACAGGGCACAAGTCTAGCTTTTTGGATGACAATTTTTGTGTGAAATGTTTTTTTCGATACATAACAAAACAACGGAGTGTGTAAATACTGGGCAAATGCCCCTGATCTAAAAGCTAAGTGTAACATTTGGGCAGTGCTCTATGACAACATTTCAAAAGCGCAATTTTCCAAAATGGATTTTGACATAAGGGGGCTTCTAACTTAATGTAGTGTTGTAGGGTATTCCATCTTTATAAAATTTATTACCCTTTAGTACACTTGTTACACTTAGTACACATTTACAAAACAACCTACTTATATCAATCCTATTTCTACGATTAATTCTTTTACCACGTTTCAATTGTTTACCACTATCTATTCACATAATTCTAAATAGACCCAAATATAGTAAATTTTAGCACTTATGGTAAAGGTATTGTTCGAATTTCGAAAAAAACCCGTTAGTTTGTCTATCATAAACAACATCAAAGACTCTTACTCTAAATTTCAGATCTTCTGCTATATTGCTTCCCCAAATAACAAAGTTAACACTATTTAGAACTTTTGTTACTTTAAGTATGTATTTCAAAATCCCCCGTATTAACCAAACCGCAGAAAAGCCAAATTTTTGACTTCCAACTCAATCCCTTATCCAATTACCAATTAGTACTTTTTAGTACCTATATCCAAAACTACCTCCAAATCTTAACCCCACACACTAAGAGTGATCGTAATGCCAAATTTCAGAATTCAAGCAGTATCCTTTCACGCAATACCAAAATTTAGTATCAGTACCCTTCGTGTACATAAGTCCGAATTACGAAAACTACCTCCACATTCCAATCCTACACTCTAAATGTAATTTTAATTCCAAATTTCATAATTTTCATCATTATCAAATTTAGTACTATTTAGTACATATGAAAACAAATTTCCATATCTGCCCACATCATACAGTTCAACAGAAATCTCATTTCCATTTTTCAGGATTCCAACTCAACTAATTCTCCCAAAATTTAAATTAACTCAGATTGTATCAGGTTTAGTACTATTAAGTACATATAAGTGCAAATTTCCATAACTTTCCAACCTCCTGGATACGAGCTATATTGCTTCACCCAAAATCCAAAGTGTACCAAATTTAGTACATATGAAAACAAATTTTCATAACTGCCCACATCATACAGTTCAATAGAAATCTTATTTCTCCCAAAATTTAAATTGTACCAAATTTAGTACCATTAAGTACGAATTTCCAAAACTACCTACATACCTCATTTCTACAATGCAATAGTAACCCTATATCCAAATTTCAGCTCTATCGGTTCACCTCAATCGAAATTGTACCAAATTTAGTACCATTTAGTACTTTTCGTGCACATAAATACAAATTTCGAAAATTATCTCAATATCCCAATCTTACACTACGCCAGTAATATTAATTTCAAATGTTATGGTTCCAGGTCTATCTGTTCCTCCAAATCCGAATTGTACCACATTTAGTACGGCTTAGTACTTTTCATATACATGAATACACATTTCCAAACTACCTTTTCAACTTTGATTTCCATTCCGAATTCCACGTTTTTAGCTCTAACCGTTAACATAATACGGAATAGAGTATCCGATTTCGTTCAAACTTGGTATATTATAATATTTTTGTCAAACTTGGATCCAGTTCGGAGATGGGCAATATCGGTCCAATCCTTCTGATACCTCCGCCACAAAATATCGAAATTTTCAAAAAATATATTTTCGGCACAGAAAGAGAAACGATAATACGATTTTGCTCCAACTTTGCAAATCCTAATATTTTCCTCAGTGCTATGTCAGGTGTGAACAATATCGGTCCACTCCATCAAGTATCTCCTCAGAAAGGTAGAATAATTATAACATTTTGAATAATTATAACTCTTATAAAATGTTTCCGATTGCCTTCAAATTACACAAATCACAATATTTTAATTAACCCAAGGTCTGGTGTGAAGTTGGAATATATCGGTCTACTCCTTCTGGTATCTCCCACACAAGGGGTCAAAATTTGGAATATTCATGAAGCTCATAAAACACGAAATTAACATGCGATTCCAATCAGGTTTGGCACATCTCAATATTTCCATCAACACAAGGTCTGTTATAAAGATAGTAGGGATCGGACCAATTCTGCTGGTGCCTCCACCACAAAGGGTCAAAGTTTTGAATAACCAACACTATTATAAAAACCTAAATAAGCATCAGGTTTTCTTTATATTTCACACATATGATGATGCACATATCGGTCCACTCATTCTAGTACTTCCCCCACAAATGCTCAAAATTTTGAATAACCATTAACCTCATAAAAAGTAAAATTAACATCCGATTCCATTCAAGACTTTGTACATCTTAATATTTCCATCAACACAAGATCTGTTATAAAGATGGTAGATATCGGACCATTTCTTTTGCTACCTGTTCCACATAGGGTTCAAAATTTTTGAAAAACCAAAACGCTTAAAGAAAGCGTAATAAGCATTCAACTACCTCACCCACAAAGGGTCACAATTTCCAATACATGTCATAACTTTGCGAAACAAGTCGGCGATTCTTTACAACTGTCTATATCTATATATTTCTCTTAACCAAAAATCTTAGCATAAAATTGGATGTAAAAGTTCGATTTTCTTCAAATTTTGCATGTACCAATATTCTAATTTAGATAAAGTATGAAAATGGAATACATAGAATAATCATAACTCAAGGCCGGGGGCATACATCTGTCGGCAAAGCCGACTGATATTATTTTACTTGTTTAGTAGTATAGATTGTGATGCTCACATTCATTCCACATGTGATGAGATTAATTTTCAAGCAATGGCAACACTGCCCCTAACAAATGTAAACAAATAACCAAACAACAATGAAACAAGTAAAAAAGAAAATGAAATACCGGCTTCAAATATTAACCGTAAATCAAATTAAAACAAAAAATATATATTTGTTAGTGAATTAATAATTTGTATATTGGTATTCGTTGTATATATTTTATTATTTTAATAATGTCCATTTATTGTGGAGAATTGCATTGAAGTTCTCTGTTTATATATTTCATTAACAGGCAATACTCTTTCGCACTCACTCATCTCAGAAACACTCAATGTTTTGGTTGCGCTCATCTGCGAGCATGTGTGTGTGTGTGTTTTGGGGCCGTTTGCTTGCTCGACAACCAAACAGTGAGCACTCACAATTTCCAACCATGCTCATTCGTCACTCAGTCGTATTTTGTGTTTCTTTGCGTGAATAACATTGGTCGGGTGAAATCATGTCGGTCGGTTAGTGTGATAGAGGCATTGCATGTTTTTGATGATGGCTCTCAGTGAATGTTGTTGCTGTTGTGTTGTGTGGTAGCATTACAATTGTTGTACAAATGAACCAAGTAGTACCTACCACGACCAGTGAAAAAGGGCCAACAACAGCAAACGAAGAAGAAAGAAGTGTTAAGTTGGAAGAAAAAGGTTGTTAAATCGAAACAAATCATTATTATTTTTCAATAATTAAAAAGTGTTAATAATTTAAAGAATATTTAATATTTAAAATTACAAAATAATTTAACTACAAAATATGTGAGAAGTGGATATCTATACCTTTATTCTACCAACAACAACAAAAAGTTGTTTGACCAGTTTGGTAAACACATCGTTTCTGGTTAAGAGCAGCACAAAATTCCGTCTCTGTTTGTTGGTATTAATCATCGGCCAAGAAACAACTACAACAACAATATCAGCAGTGGAAATATGGTGTTTAGAAACAATGGTGTTGTTGTGGAGATCACATATTTGAATAATTAATGTGTAATTCAAACGTAAAATGCAAATTTCGAAATTAATTATTTGTGTTGAAATTTTCCAGGTTTTGTGCAAGAATTTTCAATAATTTTGACCATTCAAATATTAATTTTCAAAGTGGAATTTTCATCAAATTTACCCAACTAACAACGACCAAACCAACGATCTTTTTCCAATACATGTAAATTGTTGTTTATTTTATTTTGTGTTACCTACCTGTGTGTGAGTGTGCGACAACATTTTGTGTGTTTTGTTGTTCTTGTTTTGTGCTTCATTCTTATTCACCTTTATCTTTTGTGTACGTAAACGTCATCTGTGAGAAGAAAAAAAAAGAAGTTAAGCGCCTAAATAAAGAAGGCAGGCAGGTGTGTTTCAATAAGAAATTCTCAAACCACATAGAGGGAGAGCGAGAGAGAGCCAGTTTGAGAGTGAGATCACAAAAGATCTTTAACTGTGTTGTGTTCACCTACCATTATTTGCCCAAGTGGTGAGAGACAACAAAAATTACCTTTATTCTCCCTACTCAGATTTCTCAAGAGTGTGCTTTGAAATAAACAAAACAAACAAAGAAATATTCAACAACAAAAAAGTAATATGAAATAACAACAAAAGTGGAAGAAATAAAGCAAAGCAAATGAAAATAGTGGTGTCTACCAAAAGCAGAAAAAGTTCACATTAACCCTAACCAAAAGAGTAGCACAACAAAACCCGATCATCATCATCATCCCAATTTGCATATTTTGTGCAATATCATTGACAACAACAAAATAAAAAAAAAAACTACAACGACAACAAATCAAAAACAAACAAAAATGGAAGAACTAGAAAGGCGGCAGCATTCCAGCTACTCAAAATTATCCAACGACCAACAAAAGGTGGTGGTGCTGCAACGAATATTCCATCAGCAGAGAATGTCAAAGATTCATTTGTGGATTACCTTAACAATCTTTGTGCTCTGCTTGCATTTCGACAGCTGTCATTCTTTAGGTAAGCTTTATGTTATTCTTCATCAAAAAAAATTAAAATTGTGAAAAAAAATCGAAAACATTTCAACAAATGTTAACTCCTTATCTCTTCAGCGCCCCTTGCATTACCCCTTAATTGACAGAAATTCCCAGTCGGTTATAAATGTGCTGACGTACTTTTTTTTTGGTTTTTATTAAATTGACCATATTGCCAGTGTCCAAATGTGATGGTGTCATCATCACCATTGTCATCCAATGTTTGTAATGTTGTGTTGACGCTTCGTTTTCGTCGTTGTTGTTGTGATCACCACTTGTTACCAAATCCCCAACAACGTGCTTGTTGCTATTGCTGTGAAATCCCAAGTTTTTCTTGGAAAATCCAAGCGACAAAACTATTAGAAAAGTGGTTTTAAATCGTTTGCTTGTTTATATTTTCTTTCTTCTCGATTTGAAACGTGAGAATTAGTTTTTCCCCGGAAAAGCATTATTTTAATGGTGTCTTGTCACCCCTTTCTGTGATAAATACATATTTTTTTGTAAAGCAGAAAAAATTGACCAGTGGTGCCATAATAGTTTGCATATCTTTCAAAATTGGCGGTAATGACTTCTTAAAATGATATTTTAAAAAAGAGGGATAGAAACAGTATTCAATTTAAATAAATTCTTAAATAATTTTTAAACTTTTAGTCTTTCGATTCTCTGATAAAAAATTGGCAAAAAAAATAATCGATTTTCAATTTTCCAAACCAAAGTCGACTAAAATCATGTCTTAACTCTAGTTTGGTAAAAACCCTTCAATTTTGGTAGTTTGGTAAAAACTGTCAATTCGAAATCGATTTTGAAAGAACTCTAGTTTAGTAAAAACTCTTCGGGTTTTTCTAAATATTTTCCAGTGGTAGGTATTTTAACCCGGATTCCGGGAAACTATTTTTTTTTTTGCAGACGGACCCGGGACCCCATATTTTTGACGCGAATGTACCGATTGTAGCATTTTGGAAAGGCAAGAGTGTCAGCTATAACTTAACATCAATTTTGTTGACCCCCATAATGAGCCCTTTTTCGTCTTTTTGGGGGTTTTATAAAAATCCGAGTCCAAAAAATCGATAATTTGACTACAACTTTCGAACCAACTATACTTATATTGTCTACATCGGGTGTGTTGATCTGCGTCTAGACCGGATCCTGAATCCGTACTTTCGGCTCAAAAAATGTAGGATCCCAGGTCCGTACCCAAAAAAAAAAAAAAAAAAAAAAATTCTGGAATCAAGGTAAAAATACCTACTTCTGAAAAAAAATTCGTAAAAATCGAATAGTTTTTACTAAACTAGAGTTGTTCCAAAATCGAGTGCATAAAATCATTTTTTTTTTGTTTTGTCGATGTGTGAAATTTAAAAGAAATCGAATGCGAAATATGCATACGTTGTTTTCAAAATTATTAATTTTAATTTTTTTTCTTAAATTTTATTAAATGAAAGCAAAAAATTTCGGAAATAGCATCAAATTTTAGAATAAGTTTAGCTTTGTTCGAATTGGTCACTTTTGGCATGAATTATGGCCATCAAGCGGCCAATGAAACCGACACACGCTGCCAACACTTTAGTATTTTTAGTGCTAACCTTGGTTTTCAAAATACTCCAGACACAATAGTCCAACGGATTGGTATCCAACGGATTTGGTGACCATTGTGCGCTGGAAATGAATCGAGGACCTCATTTTGTAACCATTCTTGGTTGGCGCGTGCAGAGTCCTGTTGGAATGACCAAGGTCTGAGGCTAAAATATTTTCGCGATAATATTCGGCATTTATTCTGATTAATACGAGCGGAGAGCTACCATCGGCTTGAGTTCTGGTGGCCAACCGAACATGCACATTTTCAGCTGACCTCTTCGACAAGTAAACACGATCATTTTGTTTGTTTACAAACTGCTGGGCTATGAATGTTTTCTCATTGAAGAAAACCAAATTCTGCAGTGCACCTCTTTCGGTCAAGCGAAGCAACTCTATAGCTCTTTTGAGTCTTTTGTTTTCAGTTCACGAGCCATTTTTCGGCCACGGCGACGCTTGTTTCGATCAAGTCGCTTCTTTACTTTTCGGACCATTTCTGCTGATGTTACTGTTTTCCGTTCACTTCCTTGACGATGGTACGAGACACAAAGGATTTATTCACATTTAAATGCTGGAGTGCTCTAACGATAGCCATCTGTGGTTTTCCAGCCAAATATAAAGAAATCACACTATCACGCTTGAATTCCATCACGAATAAATTTTTTCTGGAAAATTCTCACCAAAATGCTTTTGTACGCTTGTAAACAATATAATGAGTTGTCACTGGTATAATTTTAACAGCTGTCGAACGAGTGGCTTAGAAATGACAGCAATCTGAAGTTGGTTGCAGTTTTTTCATCTCACCCTGTACATTTTATTTTCGTAGATATCACATTTAATATTCCCCCATATATTGGAGGTCCCATATATATGTGGAAAGATCTGACCGGCTTGAAGGAAATATCGGAACATGTCCAATATCAAAATATATGTTTTTCAAACATGGATCAAGTCCGAAGATGGAAATATTGTTTTACACCTTTTCCCCTAACAAAAGTTCAAAAACATCAAGAGAAATTAAATTTCTCATAGAAAGCGAAAATCCTATCTTGTTGATTTTTTTTTTTTTTTTTGTATTTTGAAAAAGTGTCTATTTCTTCTAGAATCTCCAACATTTTATATAATCGTAATGCTCATAAGATGTAAGTGTAATAGCCGATTTTCATTCAACTTCGCACTGATAATTTTGAAGTTTCATAGATATAGATATGGGTTTCAAAAAGCATATAACGAGTCGTAGAGCATGAAAATAGAGCTGACGGACTTGCTGACAATCCTCCTGTTTCTTTAACTATTTAGTCTTTTAATGTTCATTTTTTCTGAAATATGTTGTAATAAGATTGCAATGAATTTCATATTTTTTAGAAATTTAAAAACATAAAGAATTTTATTACATATTTAAAAATAAAATATGATTTTTTCACGAAAGGTCATTCCCACATCATTTTTTTTTTTATTTTTTATGTTGAAAAACATTTTTTGTTTTAATTTCTCAAAATCATGAAATTCTCTGTTTCGTTTATGGCAACTCTTAAAAGTGCTTCATATTTTTTTTATGAATGGCCATTTGGCGAATTATTATACATTCTCTATGACTTTGGCGTTGCTGCTGTTGTTGTTGCCTTCTATTAGATCTGGTTTATCAAGCAATATGAGTAATTTCCCAGAAATTGCAAATATTTTTGTTTATTTTTGCATAACTTTATTTTTCCCGTTTCGCATTGCTATGCGCGCGATTTGCTGTTCTGCAAGTATTCTCTAATAATTTGTTGTTTTAGTATTTTGTTGTTATGATTATTATTGCTGTTTGCGGAACACGTTTTCCCAGGCAATTTAATATTCGGGAAAAAAATTCACAACGATATGTATATCGCACATGTCACGCTTGTATGTTTTACTGGCGTAAAATGGATAGGTGTTTCGCTAAAGTGTCATTTTCAATATCAAGAATAAACAAATTTGCTCACATATTATTGTTATTTAATACATGCAAACAACTTAACAGAGATTTTATTTGAAGAAAATCTAAAGAATATTTTTTTCTGAAAAATCAGGAAAAGGGAAAACTACTTGGACCTCTTAAAACCATACCAAGGAAAGGGAGTAATTATAAAATTAAAAAAAAATCCATTAAATTTTGTAAAAAATGTTTGGCTTTAGGGATTTTTAGCCTTAGGTTTTGATTCTCTCTAATTTCAATGACTCAACAACCAAACTGACTGGAATCAACCATTTCTGGATCTCGTTAAAAAACTTCGCAGCACGAAAAATTGTCCACTTTTTGATAAAATCTCAATACACTAGTACACTGTGCATCACAAAAAATAATTGTAAAACACATCCATCAGATTAAAAAAGTAAAGATTAAAATTGAACAAACATGTATCGGCGTTTTCAACGCTTACATCGCAAAGTAACCTAAAAATTCCATATTTTTGGATTTTTTCGAATATATATTTCTTGAAATTCCTGCATTTTAGCTATATGGTGTATTCTATAATATTACAAATAATAAAAGGATTTTTTGGTCAAAGAGCTTAACCCTCAAGTGATTCACAAAAATGATGTTTTTTTTTTATATTATATTTAAAAACTCCCTTTGAACGGGCTCGTACCAGATCAACATACAGGGTTAGATGAAAAAAACTGCAACCAACTTCAGACTGCTGTCATTTCTAAGCCACTTATCCGACAGCTACTAAAATTATTCCAGCGACAGCTCACTATATTGTTTACAAGCGCAAAGAAGCATTTTGGTGAGAATTTTACAGAAAACAAGTAATTCGTGATGAAATTCAAGCGTGATAGTGTGATTTCTTTATATTTGGCTGGAAAACCACAAGTAACTATCGTTAGAGCACTCCAGCATTTAAATGTGAATAAATCTTTTCTGTCTCGTACCATCGCTCTTTACCGTGATACTGGTAGCGTAGCCCGTCGTCAAGGAAGTGGACGGAAGAAAACAGCAACATAAGCAGAAATATTTTGAAAAGTAAAGAAGCGACTTGATCGAAACCCGGGTCGCATTTGCCGAAAAATGGATCGCGAGGTGAACATCGCATAGCATCGCAATATTCAATTTGGCAAATATTGAAAGATGAGCTCGGGGGAAAGCCATTGAAATTCCAAAAAGTGCAAGAACTTACACCGCAGCAGAAAGAAAATAGACTCAAAAGATCTAAAGAGTTACTTTGCTTGACCGAAAGTGATGAACTGCCGAATTTGGTTTTCTCCGATGAGAAAACATTCGTTGTCCAGCAGTTTGTAAACAAACAAAATGATCGTGTTTACTTGCACCTTCGGTTGGCCACCAGAACTCAGGCGCAGGCCATAGTGATGGTGTGGGCCGCCACGACAGCTCGTATTTATCGACCGCCGCATCAGAATAAATACCGAATATTATCGCGAAAATATTCT